CCTAAGGATCGGTGATCGTTGATCGGCCAGAAAACTGCAATCGGTGCACCCCTAGTCAGAGCCCATGTTGATTCCCGAGTGGAAGCCTTGAAAACCTCAAAGCAGCGCAGCTGAGGAGTCTGATCCAGGCATGTTCCACTGGGCAGTGAGCCCACTCCAGAATCAGGAGGGATTACTATCCCCAGTAAGGCCTGGGGAATGCAGGGGAATCCCCAGAAGGAGTCTGCAGGTTTGGAGAGGCAGGTTGTCTGTTCTGCTAGCTATGCTGAACCATGATGCGCAGCAGGAAAAGCCAGTGAGGGTGGCTGGATGATACTGCACTAATGAGTAAATGAAGTAGGAAAGCAAATGATTCTCTAGAGAGCATAAATAGTCTGCAGTTTATACTTGTTAATGTCAATGTTAATGTTAATTTTAATGATGTATTCTACTGTATACGTCATATATATTTTGTTCTATTACGTGGTCAAGTGGTGGTTTTTTGAAAGATAATGTTGAGTGCTTTATGTAATGTTTGATGAATGCATTTTGCATACTATATGTTTATGTCTATTTTTGGTTTTCTAAAAATTCATTGTACATTGGCAGTTTTACTAAATATCCAAAGCATATCAAAGGTGACGGCCATGTACGCTATTGTTTAAGGACGGTATAGTAATCTCATCATGACTCATCTTCCCAGCTTCCCTGATAACTGGAATCAGTCTTTGATGGGAGGATTCCCGCCAGTAAAATCTAAAAAATGATTAGTTAGCAGATATCCTGTTTGCCATGGCTGCTTCAGTGCCGTGAGGAAGTTTTTGCTCCTGTCCCGATTCCCTCTTTTTTTTTTTCTGAACTCGAAACAAATTCAGGATAATTCAAAGGACAACCCAAGTCAACGCAACACACAATTTTTAAATAAGTATTTTATTCATTGACAGAAACAAATTTACCAACACTCATATCATATGTGACAAAGTAATTGCCAAAGTAATTTGTAGTCATTCAGTCAACCAATGAACGAAATCGAAATGATATCGTGTTAAATTGTACTACATACACCCAAGCTTGACTGATGCCAACCCTGTTGAATCTACTCACCCTTAAACAGAATCGTTCCAGCAATCTGGATTTGGATTAGGGGTATCAAGAAGCAGCGCACAATGCCTTATCCAAAGAACTTCCTGAAGACCTGAGAAAACAAGTTATTGAGATGTATCTGTCAGAAAAGGGTACAAACCGCTCTATAAAACCTTTGGACTCTAGCAGACCATCGTGAGAGCCATCATCTTCAGATAGAGAAGACTTGAACTGTAGTATATCTGCCCAGGAATGGCCATTACCGCAGAATTACTTCAAGAGAGCATAGAAAACTCATCAGGAGCATCACATCAAGCCTCAGACGAACATCTAGGGAACTGCAGGCCTCTCTCAGGTCAGTTAATGTCTGAATTTATGATTCTGCAATTAAAAAGCTACTGGGTAGAAATGGTGTCTGTGGGACAGGTACAAGGCAAAAACCACTGCTAAACATGAGGAAGGTGAAGCATCGTTTAGCATTTGCCAAAACACCTTGATCAGCCCCAACTCTGTGGGGTGAATATTTTGTGGACTGAAGAGTTAAAAGTGGAACTGTTTGGAAGATGGCATAAAGCTAACACAGCTTCCACACAACGAACATCATGGCCACAGTCAGACATGGTGGAGGCAGAGTGATGGTGTGCGCATGGTTTGCAGCCGCCTCAGGGTCATAATTGAGATAATCCAGCTGTCTGCCAGGAAGTACTGAAGCGAAATGTCCCGTCATCAGTCCGAGATCTGAAGCTGAAGTGCAGTTGGGTTATGCAGCCGACAGCGACCTGAAGCACAAGATCCCGAGTCTGATCTCCTCTTACCAGAAGCATTTGATTAGAGTTGATGCTACTAAAGGTGTCACAAACAAGCATTAGTTGGTGATATGCCTGTTGGTGAATTATTGTTTTTCAATAAATCAAACGATCTTTTAAAAACTGTGTTGTATTTACTTTGTATTATACTAAATTTGTTTGGAGTTCAGAAACAAATGTTAAGACATGGAGGGACTTAGGCAGGTGGAAATACTTTGCTACACTCCTGTGTGATGTTGCTGCGATGGAACCCAACTTTCTTTATTATCGCATCCTTTTTTGATGGGCTTTTATCAGCAGGTGTTTCTTCCTAACGGACAATAGTATCATAATGAAGCAAACAGTTTTTTTTTGTAACATTAACCCTATGCCCTGTGACCCTGACCAGGATAGGTGGTTGGATTTATGGATTAACTCTATGCACAATGGATACCTCCCCACTGTTCTACTGTAGCACCGGTCTGTAAGCAACACAAAAATACATTTACAGCTGTTATTTTGATAAGGATGGTCCAGGAACACACTGTATTCTGCTAGGAGAATGAACCCCCCCACGCAAAACTCCTCAGTTCATTACGTTGGTGTTAAAACATGGCTGATATGTAAATGCTATCACTGCCACCTTAACATGCCAAGCAAACAACCCATAGAACTAGAAACAAGAGTGTTTCAATTGGCTTAGGAGTAAGGCTAAATCATTGTTCTTCTGTTGACTGCAAAGAGCCATTGTTTCCATTACAGAGAGACGCAGCGGCTTTTCGAGATATGCTGGTTGGTTCTGATAAACATTCAGTCATGGCTTTGAGAAAAATGAAAGGATCTACTGAACATCCACAGGTCAAACTCTTCCTGCTGGGTCGTAAAAAGGCAAAGCAGTGGTTAGATATTAAGCATGGCGGGACGGACAAAATCCACCCAGCAGGCTTTTGGCTGGCTGCCGCTGACATTATTGTCTTGCGGCTGCAATATGTCTGTCCTGCTGCTCTGCTTTCTAAGCCATTCCATCTGGCCCCATCTTCAGAGAACAACGTAAGACCAAGGCCTGACTGGACTCAGGGTGCCTATATGTAGAATACTTAAGCTATACCTGGAACAGCTTTTCCCTGTCTGTGACTCAGTTTCCATGGAAAAGTTTCAATTTGGTTTACTTGCCAACTTTTTTCACATATTTCCCTGTTGAATCCATCCATCCATCCATTTTCACTAACATTTTATTCAGTGTGGGTCGCAATGAGCTGGGGCCTCACATATGAAGCAGTTTGCATAATCACAGTTGATCCAGGTCCATCTTGGTCCACCAGAGTCATTGCCAATTCAACAAGCCTGTTGTTTGTGTTTATCTAATGCAAATTTGTGCTAACTAATAATAACAGTCTTATTAGATTACCATGTCAGACCCTTTACTGCAGTATAATAAGGGATCCCCTTCCTCCCACATACCCAATAATATGGACATCCATCCATCCATTAGGGATGGAGAAAAATCAATTCCGTTACAAATCCCGATTCTTCAAGGCTACAATTTTTATATGGCTATGAGAGTTGAAAAACGATTTTTAAGTATCGTTTTCAAAGTTGATTACTGTAATTATGTTGGTCCCATTTGTTACTTCCGATAGATTTTCCCAGTTGCACGTGGCCTGACTTTAATAGCAGACTGACATGCATGAGTGTGGCACCGTGCTGTCATGGATGAGCAAGCGTGTGCAGAGATGTTCCACAACCGTGTTTAAACCCATTTTGGATTCTGTAAAGTAAATGGATATCTGGACAGGAGTACGGTTCATGCTTTTCTGCAATTTCAATACAGCAGGGAAACAGAATCGGTTTTGGAATTGTTTATATTTAAAACTGCCAAAACATTATAGGAACAGTTATAGAAGAAACAGTTGGCCATTGTGTCTGAATGACAGAAGCTAAGAGATGCTCATTTGCACAGTAAAAACTAACTACATAAAATACTGTAAATGAAAATAGACTGCATTGTAAACAATCATAATGAATGAATTCTGTGTTCTCTGCTACTAACAATGGTTGCATATCTGTAGCAATAAACACCCCTATAGCAATAAACCCCTATAGCTGTGTTTATTTATTATAATTTTTTTTTTAGCCCAGTCTGAATTTCCTGGCAATAGCACCTTAAATGTCATCGGAAGTTAACTTGCAGAGACGTACCATTGCAGTTCTTGTCTTTACTTAGACCTGAACTGCTCTTCAGCAGAAACTGTAAAAAACATGAAGTTGGCAAACAAACATCGACATGCTATGCGAGCACATGCTAATTCCCACCTCTAATGCAAACACTCTGGGTGAAATTATTGTACATTTATATTGTACTAATTCAGTCTGAAAGGGCAACAGAATCAGGAACATTAAGAGCCCGGGTCACAGATTGTTGGGTATTGTTGTGTAACACCTGTGGGTACAATGGATGACCTTTGTTTGGCCCTTTTGATTGTTCATTGAGAAAGGTTAAGAAATTATACAATTGGCCCTTTTTTGACACCAATGTCTTGTGGAAGGACTGAATTAAGTTTTTTATATACTTGGATTTTTTATGAAACAGAATTAGATGTAATGGCCTGGTTTCCTCAAAAGAGTACAAAATGACTAATTGAATGACTTCCTCTGATAAGCTGTCATTTATTCTTGTTATTTTTTTCCATTCTTTGTTCCTCTTGTGCTTTGATATTGAATATTCATGGATCTTTTACAAGAACAATTGGTGTAAAGCCTTCTGTTTGGTGCTTGGCAGAGGATGTGGTTTCCATCCCTGCCCCCGACACCGGGGTTCTGGCAGAGAAGGCACTAACGTTGACCCCCCACCGGCCCGCAGGTTCTACGGCCTGTCTGTGTGGTTCCCAGACGTCATCAAGCACCTGCAAGCGGATGAGTACGCCTCCCGGGTCAAGACCCACAACAATGAGCGCATTGAAGACTTCACTTTTAACTTCACATTGGAGAACCAGATCCACACAAATGGGGTATTCATCAATGACAGGTGGGGAGAGAGTAATGTATATCCCCTCCTTATCTGGGCTGCGGCAGGAAATTAGAAATACTTATCGCCCCCCTGCATCCTTTCTGCTTCTGGACCAGCATTTCTCTTTAGCACAGCCGCAAGAAAAACATATTAATATCCTGTTTTTGTGCAGCTTATATATTTCTGGGGAAAGTGCTTTAAGTAAACATCTTTTTTTCGTACATTGTTAAAGGATTATCATGAAATGGATCCAGCTTATTCTAGTGTAAACACAAAGAAATTGTATTAAAAACATTGTGGTTGTTAGGACATGGATTTGCAATTTCAAGGCTGCAGTTTCAGTGCTGTAATGCATGTGAGGAAGCGTTACAGGAAAAAGATGCTGAACAAATGTTTAAACACATCTCTTTGGAAAAAAAACATCAGCCAACCAATCACCCATGATATTCATTAGTTAGCTCAGCTCTGACATTAATATTGCCAGTTCATAAACATGAAAGGGTAAAAATTGGACAACGTAGAAGGAATTACTCATCACTACCACCAAAGGTTTTTAAAAACGAATATGTTAATTCGTTTGCCCATTACCTCTACTGCAAAGAAAGCGTCAAAAAAGGAAGCAGAGCTCACATTTCTGATGGCCTTCAGTGTTTCAGGACAGTGCGAAGTGTGGCGCCCCCTTTGGGTCATTTAATAAGCCACCGCTGCTTATTCTCACCTGAACTTAATCTCTTCCACCCAGGTTTGTCAGCATGAAGTTCAAGTCGGTCACTTTCATCAGTTCCACCTTCCAGAATTGCTACTTCGACGATGTGACGACTATGGGCTCCTATTTTAGAAATTGCACTTTCATTGAGGCTTTTTTCTATAACACCGGTAAGACAACCAGGGGCAACCCCCCCCCCCCCCCACCCCCGTAGAAATTTCCCATTAAGCTTTTATTGTTCTACTCTGGTTGTATGGTACTGGAGGGGTACAGGGTTGTAAAGGCCTTTATTACACTGCCCATTCTCTCTCCCTCCCACCCCCTGATGCAATGACCTCACATTCTTTTCTTCTGAACCAAAGGAAAGGGGTGGAAATTGATGATGGTAAAAAAGCCGCAGTAATGTTGAGATGCAGCATGTGAAATGAACGGAAGCTTGGCACTGGCCTTAGTGCTCGTGTATCTGGTGAAGCTGAACTGTGAACACTGGGTGGAGAACATAAATCCTAAAATCCTTGTAAGGGCAGAAGCCTTGTAAAAATCACACAGAATTGCTTATTTGATGTCCCCAACGTGGGTAAGAGGGGGTAGACTTGCAGCCGCCGGGCCGGGGGCTTGAATCCTACTTTGCATGCTTGGAGGTACTTCCTGCAGTCACACCCATCGTGTGTGTGTGTGGGTGGAGGGGGTTGTATTTACCACATTGTGAGGAACAAATATCCACACAATATGGTAAACCCTGTTACCTTTTATCTTGTGGGGACATTTCTCATGTTCCCACTGTAAACATTTCAGTTTTATAAAAATCTGTGAATGCAATCAAAAAAGTAAAATAACATTAATAATATTTTGTTTAGTTACATATGGTTCCAGTTAAGGCTGGGTAGGGGTTAAGGTCGTCATGTTGTGATTTGAGTTTTCCCCATTGAAGTGAATGGAGAGTCCCCACAAAGATATAATTATAAACCTGTGTGTGTGTGTGTGTGTGTGTGTTTGTAGACACGTGTGCACCCCCAGATTGACTGACTTCCTGTCCAGCACGTTTTATCCCCTTTTATCACATTGTAAACATGAATCAGGACTTGAATACCATAAAATAATTGTTACGCAACATGCCAAATAAAAAAAACATTTCAGAGCTTGCACATATTTACTGTACTATATTTGCCCGAAGCCAAGAAAACAAAATGCATTTTAAACAAGAAATGAAAAAATATGCTTTGCATCTTATAAGAATGAAATGAATGTTGCCATTTTCTATCTCATTTGCCTGAATAAGTCATTGAGAGTGATGCACTGAGAGGATTGATTTATCAGCGATCCACATCGCTAGAAGCCGATTGGCTGAAAGAGGCTAATTCAATTAGCTGAGAGTGACTGTGCTATTTTAGACAAAGGAAGGGTGGCAGGCACGCGTCCCGGGCAGCCCGGGGGGGCCGGGCCTCTCAGGAGATGACAGAGGGGTTAATGGTGGGTGGAGACGCAAACGCTGACGAGCGGAACGCGGCCGGGCTGCTTTCAGACGAGCTCCCCAGAGCGGTGCAGGACACAAAGGCATTTAGCTGTTTCTGCAGACTCATGGCTTTTCAGCTTTAGTTTAGAGCGTGGGGGGGCCCTGAAATGCAGGTGTCCTGCAGTAGTGGGTCCATGGGGGGGGGCAAACAAGGTTCTGTTAAAAAAACTGGCCTTAACTGACATTGCGAAATGCTGGAAATGCTGAGGCCTACCATCCGTCCATTAATGCTCGGCAGCCCTGCTGACGTGGAGACTTCATGAGAATGGGAGTTTTATTTTATTTTACTTTTATGAGTTATACTAAAGCAAGATATTTACACATCAATATTCACAGACATTGAAGCTTTTGTTGTAGATGCCAAAAATAAAGATTTTTTTTACGTCAGTTTTTTTTCTTCTCATTGGTAGATATTGACAACACAAAGCTCATCAACACAAGGCTGATAAACAGCACGTTCCATCACAACAAGACAGGCTGTCAGATGACGTTTGATGATGACTACAGCGCCTACTGGGTCTACTTTGTGAACTTCCTGGGGACTTTGGCAGTGCTGCCGGGAAACATAGTGTCGGCCCTTCTCATGGATAAAATAGGACGTTTGACAATGCTAGGTAAGAGAATTGCATTACACGGAACACAGGACTTCCAGAACTTTCTCTGCCTTCTCTTTGGTCTATCTTCATACATACCTAAAGAGTAAAATGAAAAAAAGTGATATTGATTTCTTAGACTCATGCTCACTTTTTGAGATGCAGTCTTACTGCTTTGTTATTTGGGGTTATTTGTGGATTTTGTTTGACATTCGACAGAGATGGGATGGTGCATGCAGTTGGACGATTTTTCCAACCTTGTTTGTGGATGTGAATCCGTTCAAATCGAGTCTGTGTGTGTGTTTTTATAAGGGGGCTCCATGGTCCTGTCAGGAATCAGCTGCTTCTTCCTCTGGTTCGGGACCAGCGAGTCCATGATGATCGGCATGTTGTGCCTCTATAACGGCCTGAGCATCTCTGCTTGGAACTCCCTGGACGTGGTCACTGTGGAGCTGTACCCCACGGATAGGAGGTCAGGCCCACACACAATGAACACAAATGATCAGCCAATCACATACTGGTGATCACAGCACATGCCAATCACATACTGGGTGCTGGGTTGCTGTGCAACCATGGTGTAGCTCTCAGTAATAGAAATTAAATAACTGAGTTCTCATAAGAACAACTGAAAGACTTACAATTTAACTCAAATGCACCACAGTGTAGCTTTATTAAATAATGAAAAATCAATGTACTGTATATTTTAAATGAAATGAAAACTTTGAAATATTTGAAAACGAGTAAACAAAAAATAAGCATTTTGACAAAAAATGTAGGCGACACTTTCTAAGAATGCCATGTATATAAATATTTATGTATATAAAGTCTATAAATATTTATAAATAGGCATAACACCTTATAGCCATGTGTATTATAAATGCTTCATGAAACTCATGTTTAATGCACTTTAGAAACCTTCATAATGCAGTACAAACCGTCCTTAATTCTTATACCAAACATTATAATGCATTATGAAGGTGTCTATAGTGAATTATAGATGAGAGCTTCATTGGAGCTTATGAAGTATTATAATCAACACTATAATGCCTTATGACTGTCAATAGAATATGCTGTAATGCTTTATTAACCCTCATACCTACAATTATAATGCATCATGAAGGTATCTATAGTGCATTGTAGATGACAGCTTCAAGTAAAGTGTTTCCAAAATGTGCAGTCTGATGATCATCAGATTCTTCTGATGCTTTCTTTCTCTGTTCTAGGGGCACCGGGTTTGGGTTCTGCAATGCCATGTGTAAGCTGGCGGCAGTGCTGGGCAACATGATCTTTGGGTCGTTGGTGGGTATCACGAAAGCCATCCCCATCCTGCTGGCCTCCACTGTGCTGGTGTGCGGGGGCTTGGTCGGACTGAGACTGCCAGACACAAGATCCAACGTTCTAATGTAACCCCTGCCCCCTCCCCCGGTGAAAAAGGCTTAGATGCAGTGTTACAGTACATCTCACATTTTGGTTTTTTGTTTTAATTTCTGCCCATAAAATCCAGCCTCCTGTTAGGTGATGAACAGGACTGGGTGAAGAATGAGGTCACAGTGCGATGTCACGAGACACTCGCCAAATGTGCTCTGGGTACCTGGGCTCATGGGTAACGGTGCCGCCCCCTGCCGCTGTGCGGGTTGTCATGGCAGCCACACATGGTGAAATAGAACCATTTCGTGCTTGGAGTTTCACTGAAAGTGACAGATTATAACGGAAGCATGGAACTAGGAGGACCTAGGCTACTTTTTAAACTGTACTAATGTCACGTTAAAGCAGTTCATGCTTCAGGTTAAGAAAATGTAGAATAATAGTTTTTCTAATGAATATCGCTGCTGATTTGCTGACAGGAAATCAGGAATAAAGTTCCTTACATGATGACGTGTTTTTAGTGAAAAAGATTTAGTAATATTATAAAGTGAGCCTTTAAGCCTTTTACGCCCGTTTCAACTCTACTAATAACAAGGCCATAGACAATTATAGAGAGTAATAATTATCAGTTTAGTCTTGTTGCGGGTGACTATATCGGCAATGTTTTAAAAAGAGTTTACATTTTCTGCTTTTTAACAGTCTGAAACATGAAAACATTGGAACATGGAATCTTTATGAAACCATGAGATCACACGACGTGGATTAAGTTGTGATTATGTTCATTTTTCCTCTGTGCCATGTCTAAGATATTTGAGCTCAGAAGAGATTTGCTTTAAGTCATATTTCTTTATTCATCGTATTTTTTCACAACATCCCAGAACTGCAGAGTACGGCTGTGACGGGGGCTTCTCATTGAGCCTGTCCTTTATGAACACTGAATTGCCTTTCCATTTGTCTGTTTGTCTGTCTGTTGATTCATTTGTTTATTTCAAAACGCTGAGGTTCTCCCCAACGGTTCACCCACTGGGCCATCTTCATAAGCCTGGAAATACCTGCATTGAAAAAAACTGAAATCAGTCTGAACATATTTATATGAAGCAAGGTTCATAAGAAATCAAATTGTACTTTTAAATAGTAAGTTGAAATTGTTCTTCCATCTTCCAATGCAGTGTTATTTTGTATGTTGTATAAGTAGGTAATTTAAGTCAATTAAATTGGATAATTTAGTCTAAATAATTTTTTTTATTGAAATAAAATAAAATTAAAATAAGTACTGTATGTACTGTTTGGAAAGAAAAGGCCCTAATGCAGGATTCTATTTTTAATTATCCTTTCATTACTTACTTTCTGGAAGGCACATTCAACAGTATCATTAATTAGCCAATTCACAGTCATTAAAAACTCCGGAACATGTAACTCTTGGTTCTGTTTGCTGTGTGCATTTGTTGATATGCAGAGTGTCAATGACTTCCTCCCACACAAGTTCGTCTTTCTCTGTCGTGTTTGTCGTCCCAGCGCTGCAGTGTGCGCTTGCGCTATGTGCCGTCTATGCAACACGCCCGTAGTGTCGTCTGCCTTTGGTGTCTCTGTGATTTTATGTGAAGTGGCCATCTGAACTGCAATGTCCCTCCACTGTGCATATAGCGGACGTTCTTCCATTTGCCTGGAGGATCGTCTCTGAAGACCCTAACTTTGAGTCATGTACAGTATACAGACGTCTGAGTTTTTCAGATATATAGGTTGTTAGTGTCAATATGTTTATTAAAAAGAGAAGACATATTTATTATAATATAATTTAAAAATGAGGAGAAGCCATTTAAATTAGACAATTCATTTAGACTTAACATGTCAACGGCTGCTATCTCCTCAGTGCTGTGAGGGGCTACAAATTTTTATATAATGTTTTCATTGGGTTGTATAAACATCCTTTGCTCATATCAAAATGTGTCATTTTGAGGAAACGTGTCCATTCCCATTAAAATGCGCGTTTGTGTGTGTGGGTGTGTGCTTTGTAAATACTGTATATATAGGTAGTTGTTGGTGTCTGGAAGCTGAGTCATCTGTTTGCTCACGAGTTTGATTTCCTGAAGTGTGTTTGCATTTTGTTTTGTTGAGTATGTGATGGCTTGTGGGAATTCACTGGCGGCAGCAGTGCGTCTGTCTTCTGAAAGCTCTGTACCCCAGAGAAACGCTAGACATGTTTTATTATTATGTTAAATCAAACAAACAAAAAAATGCATGCATCTGCTGAAGTTGTTCATTTGTGTCCAGCTCTTCTGTTGTTCTTCCCAGAGAGGAACAAAACGGTTGCTTCGGAATGGCCGTACCCATTTTGTCAGGTCTCGTCGTCCAGTTTGTGGGTGAAATTCATCGGACTCGGTCTTCGGTCGTTGTGCAAGGGCGTGTCAGCTGTGAGGACTGCACTCACCGGGCAGTTCAGAACGTTATGTGAAAGTGTGTAAAAAAAAAAAAAATGGTTAAAATCTATCCTTAATAATATTTTAACGACGACAAAGTAATAGGTGCAATGTAAATCTCATTCTGCTCCATGAGTATTAAAGATCTAAATAAAGAGTTCTCTATCTATTGAAGCCTCTGCCTTTTGGTCTGCATACAAAGTGTGTGTCTTTGTCTGGGTACTCTGTATCGCACTCAGTATTACCAATCACTAATTCTCGAGTAAAGCCGCAATAACAGTAGTAGTTGGCATTGTACTTTGACACTCCCAGGGTTATGGGTTTGACTCTCAAGCCCAGCTCTGTGTGTGGAGTTTGTATGAACTTCCTGTGTTTTTGCATGGTTTTGTCCTGAGAATTCTGCTTCCCTCCTGCCATCCAAAAACACACAGGTGGATACAGGGTGTGAGTGCATGTATGTCCTGCACCTGTCTGCCATTACTGGATGTCTCACCCAGGCTGTCTCCTGCCATGGTCCCCGGATGAGGCTCCAGTCCTACCATGAATCTGTAATGCAGGAGTGGTTATGGGAAACGGATGTACGGTCTGTGACTCTTCTTGTAGGTGCTACAATACTCTTTGATAATGATAATTTAAGATGTAATGCAGGAAACTATGTCAACGAGCAGGATGGGAAGTGGCTAATACAGCAGTTAAGGATATAGACCATAATTTCAAATGCTTTCAGTTCCAGGAAGGGCTCTGTGTGTTTATATTTAGTTGAGATAAATCATCTGCTTTATTTGTAAACTAAAATCCTAAGCTCTGTTAGTCACTACAGATACCATCTGTGAAGTGAATGCAAATTTTTTCACTTACCTCACCATGCTGCCACCTAATGGTGATTTGTGTGAACTAAAGGTGGCCATTTTTAATTTTTAATTTTTTTTCCTGTGGAATGTCCATCCAAACATATAGTGACTTTCTTAGCATGATAAGATTTAGTAATCTTAGAAAAAGGTTAATTTTCAAATTGAATATTTGCATTATACCTCTTTTACAATTTCTATCCACATAAGCATGACAAATTAGCTGTCAGGTCTCCAAGAATAGAAGTCCTGCAGGTTTTATGACAGTACCAGTCAAAAGTTATTGCACACACTGAGATTTTCTACATTTGCATGTTACTTACTTAACATGTACAAAAGATACACTTAATACTCTTTGCTAACACATACATTTACAACAGAGTCACTATTTAAGTACCTTTATTAACAAGAAAATGTCATACCTTTGATTCCTTATAACACTAAAGAAAATTCAAGGCATTCTTTCTACAGGTTACATTAAACACTGCTCTGTCTCATGGGATGGAACAGTTAACTAGTGCATTTAAAATTAAAGGACAGCCTAGAATTTGACTCTGCCATCACCACACAACCAGTTAATAGGATGTCAGACATGCGCTGTTACATACTTTTTCCATGTTATAAAGGACACTTGTTTTGTTTGACTTTTATGTTCATTTATAGTTGTTCACTCAACTTTCCAAAGCCTAACAAAAATAAAAAATCTGCAGTTTATGAATTAAATGGACAAGTGGTAAAATTCTGTGGTGTGCAAAAACATTTGACTGATGGTGTATGTTTTACAGGACAGTAGTTAGCATGATGGTTTTGGCATGATATGTAGCATCAATCATATAATATAGCAATGCACACTTATTCTCTTTGCTCAGGAATAGAAATATATTTTATCAATTTTTCAAAAATGTATTTAATTTTTGGAGAATATATTCAAAACATAAGAACATAAGAACATAAGACAAAGAACTGAGAATGCGTGGCAAGAAATTGATATAAAATTAAGCAATATTTTCGTCAATATTTCTAGACATTTTGTCAACCTGCGAAACAGTCTTAAATTCCATGGAAACTGAGTATTATTTAAAAAAAAAAGAACAGTAGGAGGCCTCATTTGGCCTCTCCAGAAGACTGCACTGCAATTCTTACCTGGTATGACAGGTATTGATTCAGACTTTTGACCTATGGGCAGCATAATCAGCCAGCTCATTACCTTAATTAAGATAGCCAGATACATATGACTGAAAATTCAATTATCTGAATGCACAAAGTACTCAAATAGCCAGTATAAATTCTGTCCTTGGATACATAGTCTATTTTGAGCAGGAGACAGCTTTAAAGATTAGGTTATTGATCAAGGTAGACCTGGTCGACCCAGCACATAAAATTTACATTTTACAGCTGAATGGAAGCAACCTCAGACTTAACTTGAGAAAATGTACTGTAGGTAGCTGAAATGCAGATAGATAGATAGATAGATAGATAGATAGATAGATAGATAGATAGATAGATAGATAGATAATCTACACAACCTTCAAACAAAGTGGTGCATTTTGTATAATGTCCCATAAATCAAAATTGAACATAATTTCCCTGGCCCATCATAGCTGATATTTCTTCTGCACATGCATGCCCTCTCCTAGTTAATTAATAAATGGTCAATGACAAAAAAATTGTGTGTCTTTGCATGTTCACTAACAATTCAAATTAAATTTATTGAGTCTTTCTAGCACATAAAGTTTTTGAAACACATTTTCGTGTGAAATTATTGAAAAATCTGAATATTTTCTGCTCTCTGTTTTTTATACGGAGTGATCTTTCATAGGCTGATCTGAAACGCATCATACATTGATATGTGGCAAACAGGTGACAGAATCAGAAGCCAAAAAATACGAAAAAGAATGTGAAAGTCTGCAGATAAAAATGTGTGTAGCTTGAGAACACAAGCTTGGGCAGCTAAAAACATACTATTACTAAAGATTGTGTCTCAAAAGTTACGGGGTTTTTAATGTATTTATCTATTAAACTGTTTTTATGCAATATTACTATCATGGTCTAAATTTAAGTTATTTTGTATCACTGATTCTGCTATTATTAATAACTTCTGCAGAGATAAAATCAATCTTCATATGTGATTGACTGCAATACTTTGTTCTTTTTGAACAGAGACGTGAAAATAAGTGAAAGTTTCAGAAAGTATTTCAGCCTCGTTGTGGACATGGCGATGAGCCTCTGGCACCCGGGTCACATCACTGGGTCACCCCATGGAAAAGGTTACAGGAAGCGACTCAAAGAAACACAAAACGCATCACCTTGGCATCCTGCTGCAGCCACACCAAGATGCAAGAGATGTGCTCTAGCCATAGCAGAGATCATTAACGGCATCTTGGATGCTTACCAGGACCGGGGGTGGGGGAGGGGTTGGGATTCACGGTACTGGAGAACAGTGTCTGCTTCATCTCTTCCTGACTGTAATCTAAAGATGTGCCCTAGTGATCTCCCTCATTAGAGGGTAAAATCTGTGCTGCCTGCTAATCAGTCTCACCATGGCCTGGAGGAATCGTTTCCCACAATTCTGTCTGGGTTATGGAGGTGCTGCAGAAAAGGAGGTCATTTATCTATTTAGATTTTGTGACCCTTTGGTAGGAAAGGTCACTTCCTCTTGTATAAACTAGACAATATGGTTTTCAGCATGGAGCACTGAGGGAACACACGCCAGTCTCACGTCTGCTAAATGCTCACTGTTCATTGGCAAGCTGTGCGATCCACATGTCTGCGTTATCACAATACGCATTATTTTCTGGTGTCCCTGGGTAATCATAATTGTTTTCCACCTTCCAGCCAGTCGCTTACTGACTGCTAATGCCTTATTAGCATCCTCTTGGTGGACAGACATAAGTCTGCCTACACCGCCTGTAAGCGTTAAGCACTGGGGCTACAAGGTAAGATTTTGGCAGCACAGTCCTGGGAAAGTAGAAGCAGACACTTGTGCTTTCAACCCTGAGCCAAAGAAAAAAGTTGCCCAAGGGGGTTTGTGTTTAGGGCTCTGGGGATTCCGATCAAATAGCTGTCTACTACACTGGAATTTTAAGCATACGATGAAGACTGAATGACTCCCTATCCCCTGGGATCCCAGATATCTGACAGCGAGTAGAGACTAGAGACCCCACTCATTTTGAATATAGTGTGATAGCCAGCACACCTCTGGTGTCAGTATCAACCATCTGAGTGAGGAAAAATGTCCTGTATAAACAACAGAACAGGTAAGTGTAAAGCAGGAAGCCACCCCTCCTACCATCAGCCTGCACTGCAAAGTAAATCAGAACAATGGCCCCCAGAATGTTTATCGATTTCAGAAAGGATTCTAGAATTTCTGCTATCACAAAGATCACCGTTTCAGAAGGTGGATTCTTTGTGTGTTTACAGCTTCAGCACTGATCCCAATGTATCTTTTTTATGCACCAGACTCCATTCATTTGCATTTTCCCCCTATCTCAGAAAATACTTTTCTATCATATATAAAACAAGCCTGGAATACTGTGAATTTGTTTTTAAAGGGCATTAATTTTCCACTATCAGATAGGAAGCCCAGGTTAAAGGTTACAAAGAACTAACTCCACTTTCATTTCCCATTTTGCTCTGTTTTTTTCTTTCTCTCACATGTCTCTGTCAGATGATTTTGCTTAATGTTTATGCTAAGCTAAGAGTTTCTGCCGCTTTTTTTGTTACACCAGTCCAGATAGTAGGCCAGTGTAAATTTAACAGATGAAACAGGATTTCAGCTTTACATTTTCTCTGGAATCATGAAGGGTGGCGGTGAAGCAATTAAGCCTTTAACCTCCCAAACAATCAGGCCTAGACTTCAGTAATACAGATTTTCTCTTCCTTACGTCCACATAGGTCAAAAGTCTGAAGAGGTCCAGTTGTGTATAGTGCTGTATAATACACCAGACCGAGATCATTATGCACCGAACACTCTACTGCTATTCTCAGTAATCATCTTTAAGGAAGTGCATAATATTATGAAATATTCTTTTCTTTGATTGATCGCTTTGATAACGGTTTTTAACAGGACAGAAGAAAGACAACTACAGTGAATTATCTGGCAATTATCTGCTTATTATCTTTACCACTTATGCATTGAATTGTTCCTCTATAGCTGATTTGATGGGGACTGTTATATGTTTTTACAACCCATTGGAAACAGTAAATCAGCAAATATCATTAAGCTTCTAATTTATATGTTTCAAAAATCTGTCCAACAGCCCCATTATGATTTGATATTTCCCATATTTCCCTGCATACTCTATTGTAAATATTCCACATTCAGACAGATGAACAATATGTAGTAGCAGGGCTTTGGGAATGCTCAGAGCCTTCAATCAGATCAATGTCCTTTATGCCACTGCAAAGAATTAAAATATCCAAACTTGTTAAATTAAATGAAGTGCAACTTTACTGTTTCCAATAAAATATAATACTGTGCAAAGGTCTTAGGCAGTCACAGAAAATATTTAAAGCTATTTATCTGGATAGTATGTTTTGCTCAGAAAAATAAACACGCAATTTAACTTTAGAATTTATGCAGATAAATAGGGTTATCTTGATCTCTTAAACGAGGCTGACAGTAATCACTGGCATATGTAACTTTAGCATAGAAACATGTTCACCATTTAAAACCAGACAAATCAGGGTCTAAAACAGATAGGAAAACTGGACAAGCACACGGCCAGCTTAGCAATATGAAAGGAGCTCTTTCTCACAGGTCTTCAAATCTGAGTCAAGTTTACCATTATTCCTGCAAAATACTGTCAAAATCATGAAAATAATAAAAAATGCTGGAAGATCATGCAATGAAATGGGTTGTAATTTTCAAAATTTCACCATGTATATTGAAATATAAACAAACACAGACAAGAGCCATGCACAACTACACCCAAACGTTTCCTTTAAAGATTTGAATAATGCTTTAAGTACAACTTGTTTTTAAAATACCGTGTTGCCATTTGAAATGATAAACTCATCCTTAGCCTCAGCCACTCTGAGCACCTGCCCCAGAAGAGAAGGACAGCAATAAATGATAAGCAGTATTAGTTTGTTTCATTACCTAAGACATAAAAGGACACACTGAAGCTTAAAAGTAAGACACTTTGGCTATTAAGGTCTTTCTTACACTTTCTTTTGATGTGATGCTTTTTTAATTGTGGTTCATTTCTGTAACCTCTCAGGGCAGGAAATGCAAGCAGAGTGGAAACAATTAAGTGAGCTTGCCACTGGGTAATTGTAAGAAATGCCACCTGCAGCATTCTGTGGTGCCCACAGACCTGCATTATGTGCTGCGTCAGCCAACTGGAAAATAGAGCAACACTTCTGCCCCCATTGTGGGAACCTGTTTTGGGGGCTAAGTCATGAATTATGGTGAATTTCCCTGTGTTTGTCAAATATATGCAGCTTTATTTTCCAGAAAAGGAGAAGGTTATGCTAATTTAGAAAAGCGAATCATTATACCCTGTGAAGACTGGGATTGTTATTAAGCTAAATTTTACTACTTAATAGCTCCATAACAATTAATGTATCCATCTGATTGGTATATAGTATTATTATAAATACTCAATAAAAGTTTAATGATCCATGATAATCATAGAGGGTTTGTTTGGAGGAAATTTTGAGAATTGTAAATTTTTCGTTAATTGTTGTCTGAATTAACCTCCTAGACAAAATTGATTCACATTCACAACCATGTCTGTTGCTTTTGAAAAATATATGAAGTCATATGGAACATGGGATATTGGTGGATGCCATTGTTGTGTGGTGCCAAGACGTGCTGGTAATTGGAACAGTCTCTGTTATGTGCAGAGCTGAACTGACTGACTGGCATACTGGGCATTTTCCCAGTGGGCTGATGGGTATGTGGGTCACCAAAATTTAATATGAAGCTTCATGAAACTTGCTGTGAAGATTTGGCCAGCAGGTTCGATCATGTGACACCATCATTGGACTCCGTAGGATGTTGAAGTTCCTCTGCAGTTACAATAGGGACAGTTGGCCAGTGTTGCGGGGACATTGCAGAAAAATAAACACAGTGTTCCTTACATTTATTCAGGCTTTTGGAGAAGTTTAACAAAAGCGATTGTTTCCCATGAACAAAATAAGTACAGAGCTACAGTACATTTCATTCTTCAAAACTGGAAAAATAATCAATTTCATTACTAATATATTTTTTTTATTACACTTTTAATATTTTTGTTGTTTTCCCATCCTTGCAAATCTTTGATTATCTTCAATTATTAAACATTATTACAAATGTGGAAATAGAGATTACAGATACAAATAAGTATTTAAATGCTTAATTTCAGTTTTGGGTCATTTTCTTTATTTAGTTCATTGCTGTATTGCTCTTTTATAAGCTAATTTACTTAATCTTTTAAGTATTTATATCAGAGTCAGGATCTTAACTGCCATATGACCAAGACGAGAGTAAATCTTTGTTGACACAGTTTACTACTCTTAGGGACAATTAACAGTTACAGACAGAAAATATATACAAATACCAAGACACCCAATTTTCATTTCAGTGGTCTGACTGGCTCTCAATCTCCTATAGTTATTGTCTTCCAGCACAGAGTACACAACTGAGAGCGGTAAGCACAGAGCAAGTGATAAATAAAGGTTTGTGTAAATTTAAGTAGTGCAATGTAAACACATATATACGGTATATTGTTCGCATTAAATCCTAACATCAGTCATCATATTCAAAAGTATTACTTAATTTCAAATAATGGATTTTAAGGATGATCAGTATTTTATTGTTACCATTTGTTATTTGTTTAAGTGTGCGTGTTACTACGATGATAATGTACTGTAATTTTCATTTTTCACTCATTGGCCAGCAGAGGACACTGTTGCACACTGATACAGCGTCTATCTCCCTGCTGTTCATCCCAGGCAGGTTTTTCTGGAGCCTATGCAAGGCAGCACAGGAGCCCCTGGAAGGAAGGAAGCCACGTGACCCAGGGAGAGCGTGCAGTGATGGGATTCAAAATCCCGGCCTGAAGATGGGAGGCAACAGCATCAGCCATCCTCAAAGTAAGCAGTGAAAAACGATTTGTCTATAGTTTTGAAATGTACAAAAATGATGCAGCTTATAATATCTATTAGGGGGTAAGTTTACAAATTAAAATCTCAAGTTAAACTACCGCTGGGTGGTTGCCAGAATTTACACCCGTAGGACTTTTAAACTGCATGACTGGCTTTTTGGCAAACATGATAGCTCATTTTAAATACTGGGCCATTCAATCATGTCGGTTTCTAAAGCTATGACGATACAGAAGTTGCCAGCTCCGTCAGCCACATCAATGCTCTCCCCCATGCCACTGAATAACTGCTCCTTCATCATTTATATTATGCAGCCATGGCTTGGTTAAGTATTATTCAACAATATACTCATCAGTGTAAACTATTCATACCTTACTTAATATACCTACCTTTGACCATTTCATGTAGGACAGACAGACAGTATATCCACAACTGACACTGAATAAGAAACTGCATCATTAAATATTGCTTTCTTTTACTCCTCTTCACTCTTTCTCCTGCCTGTCAGTCAGGACCATTTGTCATTATGGCCAATGACCTTCGGATCACAGACACTGTCTCCTACCTCACTCAGCCGCACGCTGCCCTCATAATTGCTACCTATAATGTGCTGAGTCAGGTTACTTTCATTAAAATGCAATTTACTCTTTGATTATAGTTTTGTTTTTGCTTGTACAAAATACACAAAAGCAGTATGTTTTTGCATAAACTTCACATTTATTAACTTTTATACAGTATTTATTTAATAAAATTAGTATACACTACATATAACTCTGTTAAAGGAATACAAAAACAAATATTTATGGTAAAATACAGCTAAAACAACATCACAGACACTGTCTCCTACCTCACTCAGCCGCACGCTGCCCTCATAATTGCTACCTATAATGTGCTGAGTCAGGTTACTTTCATTAAAATGCAATTTACTCTTTGATTATAGTTTTGTTTTTGCTTGTACAAAATACACAAAAGCAGTACGTTTTTGCATAAACTTCACATTTATTAACTTTTATACAGTATTTATTTAATAAAATTAGTATACACTACATATAACTCTGTTAAAGGAATACAAAAACAAATATTTATGGTAAAATACAGCTAAAACAACATGCTGATATTCTGATTCCACATTGGGCTAAGCTTAATCCTACTGTGATTTAAAGCTGCTTCAGCAGTCTGCAAGTAACCCACAGCTACTTGCCCAAAGAGGAGTGTCAGCAAGAGACTCCCTGGCTGAATCAGAGAAATATTTCCGACGTGTATCAGCCTGACTTAGGTTTGCACAACCTCCAGATGAATCCTGAAGCTGATTGTATGCAATGAATCCACTGATACTACTGATATATCACATGTTACTTAAAGAAAACAGAATTCATTAAAACAGAATTCATTTTAGGACTGTACAGTAGACAGCAGTTTTTTTTCCCCGAGTATACCTGGTGCATAGTGTCCCGATTTGTTCCCAGCAAAACCACACTGATAAATCTCTTAGCCCCACTGATTCAAGAAACATTTCTGCTATAGCATTTCAAGCAATGGAATGTCAAAGTTCATAAGGCTTATTTTAGAATGAAACACTGTCCTTCAATTGTACATCCTTTTCTTTATGGGTAATGAGGACAATTCCTGATCCTGTTGTTCTAGCCATGAGGAAGAAGAGGAAAGGATCCAAAGAGCAGTGTAGGCTGCACAAACAGAGCATTGTGCTGTAATAGATATAGAAGGAGTCCTCATTGCCAATACGCAGGTTTATGTAATGAACGAAGTGGAAGACATTGCTGGGTGTAAAACAGATGAGAAAAATGGCAAACACCAAGGAGCTGATCATAATGTAGGACATCCAGTCAAAGTGAGATTTGTTCAGCTTTCTGATTATAGACACATAGGAAAAGATTGTGACCATGAAGGGTATAAAAAACCCCCAACATGTAAGACCAAGTTTGTAGTAGAGCAGGAAATTGTAGTATTCCATATTTGTTGGAATGATATCATGGCATGTGGTAGCGTTTAACTGATGGATGTTGTAACTCTGTCGGACAAGTAGTTCTGGTACCATGGCGATGAGGAGTACAGCACACGCAATCAAGGTGATCCACATACTGCACCAGAACCTGGGCAGGTTCTTGTACATGAAAGGATGAGCCACAGCCATGTAGCGCCTGAAACTGAGGCACATGTGCATGTAGATAGAACAGTAGATGTTTCCATAGAAGCTGGCTGTCACTACCCTGCACAAAGTTTCCCCAAATATCCAATTACTGCCGTTATAGTAGTAATGAACCTTAAGCGTCAGAGTAAGTAGAGTCAAGAGGTCCGATACGGCAAGGCTCATGTAAAGGATGGCACTGGAGAAGGTCTTGATTTTGCTGCAGAGCATTTTCATAATGATGACGTTGGATGGGACACCAATGAGTATCGTCACTAAGTAGGCAGTCGGAATGAGCCGAGAACTTAGGCTGCTGTTTAGGTAGTTAGCAGCTCTGACATCGTGCTCATCATCCAGGTAAATCCTGTCTGAGTCGTTTATTTGTTTTCCTCTTAAGCTCCTAATTATATTGGTAACATTTGTTGTTTCATCCCCTAAAAGTAAAAGAAAAACAAATGCATGAGTCATATGCTAATATAAAATCACTGGTGTATTTACAATGTATATACTATTAATTCATTATTTTTTTTATTTTATTTATCCTTTATTTTACCAGGAAGCTTCCATTGAGATACAATATCTCTTCTTCCAGGAAGTCCTGGCCAAGTTGGCAGCAAATACGAAAAAAGACAAAAGTTTCATATACAATCTCACTGAGATGATTAATATGAACACAAACTAAAACGCATACAAATACTCAAACTATACATAGAATAAAATGAATTTTTATGAAACAATGACACTGTTCTTTAAGCTCAGAGTTTAAGAGATTTTTAAACACATTCAGAGAAAGCAAGGAGTCCAAATTCAATATATTTTGTACTATATTCGACTCATGTGGTGCACCAGAATACTACCAGAATTAATTAAATGTACATAATAAAAACTAAACAGGCAAATAATTACAGCACAGCTTAGCTAATAGTGGTGTGATGTGGTATTATAGCTATAGTAAAATAATTGATTGGCCTTTGTTTGCTAATATTTATTTGATGAATAAAAGAACAAAATGTCTTATCGTGAAAATACAGAAGAAAATTTCTGTAGGATTATTGCCCTCATTGAGAGAAATAGCAGGTAAATGAAATTAAATCGCCAAAGGTTTATATTATTAACATCACCATGATAACATAATAACAAAACTTTAAAATACTTAACCAGAAAGCTACCAGAATAAATGTATACATATTTAGCAAAAAATGTGAAGGAACACCATTATATATAATATTTATTTAGTTATCTTACCTTTAACTTGACAGGAAAAGTGCAGAAAAATGAAATATAACAGTAATGGTAGTAATTTGCTCATATTTTATCTCTGTGTTGTTTCACTTTTCTTAAGTCCGAAAGCCAAAGCTACATAATGGAAAGTGCGTCTGGATTAAAAGTTGTGTCTCTCACAAGCCTGTGATGCAGATGCTTGTTTTGCCTGTAAGGTCCTGCCGATTCCCAAATATGACTATGAAGTCATATCCTGTTTCTACTCTTGGTGAGGGGGAGGAAGGCTGGGCGGATAAAAAGAATTCCTCTGTTGCCTCGGGCGCTCATTATAAGTTTTGTATATCCCAAGTAAAAAGAAAAAAAATGGAGCAGCACAATACAATTAGCAATGATAAAAATGAGTAAAACAGAAATGTTTCTTTCAGGCTTCATGGTATGTCTTTTCAAGCTTTACTGAAGCGCTATCATAGAATTTCAGATTTTGAACGGTGGAAACTGAGTGCCATCATTTACCAAGCAGTTATAATCTCATCAAAATACAGCCTGCAGAGCAGTTCTGAGATAAAACAAATGATGTGCATGGAAATGTTTAAGTCTCTGAGGTGAAACTGGAACTGAACACCAGGAGTTCACTGAAACAGGTTTTATTGTCATAAGACTGAACAATCAATTAGGTTAATTGGCATGTACTGTATGTTGTCAGTAGCATGTAATTGTGTGTGTGTGGGGGTTTGCTTAGATCACATTTGAGGACCAAATTGTCCCCAAAGTGTAGTAAAACCTGAAATCTCCCTACTTTTGGGGACATCTTTTGAGGTCCCCATTTGGATAACCTCAGTTTTATAAAAATCTGTGAATGCAATCAAAAAAGTAAAAATGCAAAAAGTCTTGTATTTGGGTTGGTTACTTATGGTTAAGGTTAGGGATGGGTAGAGGTTAAGGGTGTCGTGATTGGGATTAGGGTTTTTCCCATAGAAGTGAATGGACGGTCCCCATTCAGATAGGAAGACCAACTTGCGTGTGTGTGCGTGTGTGTGTCTGTGTGCCCTGTAATGGTCTGGCATTCCAGCCTGGGTGTACTCCTGTCTAATGGATGGCATTTCCTGTATAGATTCCAGGCCCCTTTGCAACTCGGACCAGCATAAGTGGTTGGGAGTTGCAGGGGTCCCACTGTGACGTATGTGTAAGAAAGTTAAGGAGGTCTGTTCCAGATAAGCATCTTCTCTCTGAGAATGTTGTCAGCTGTTTATTTGTCAAATAAACATGAATCATTGTGATCAGACTACCATTTTAAAGCAAATTATACTGGGAGTGTTTTACTATTTAAAGCAGAAAAAGATCAAATGATAATAGCCGCAAGACCAACAGTCTGAGGCTTCATATCGGAGCCCCATGGAAAATATGTGGCAGAGTACAATCTAACCCTACACAAAGAACTGCTAATGATGTGGTTCATCACCATGGAACACGGTGAAGTCGGCTAAAAAGGTTTAGCATCACATATGGTTGACGCGTTCTATATTAAAGCTCATGTGATCCTCTTGCTTTTATAGAATGTTTGTTTAGGCTGGGGGGGAGCAAAAACGTGGACCTTCTGGGGTCCCCAAGGACCAGATGTGAGTCATCCTAACCAGCTGCATCATCATCTGGTTCAGAAACTGCAAAGTCACTGACCACAAGTCCTCGGGGAATAGTGAGGACATATATATAGTGAGACAGCATAGCAGAGCACAGGACCCCCTACCCACCTTCATAGTCATCTACAACAAACGCTGCTGAAGCAGAGCCCACTCCACCACACATGACCCCTCGCAGCCGTCAAACATCCTGCCCCCCCCTCCATCAGGAAGAAGGTTCCGGAGCATTCAGTCCCCAACCCCCCTGTCTTCTCATAAACGCTTATGAAATGCCTATTAGTACTACAATGTTTATGCTGATTGCGCAGTCTATGTATTTACTCGTATTAATGCCATTATTGTTAATATTGTTGCGTATTGTTGTGCATTGTTTTTATGTAATTTTAATTTTTACTCTTTTATTTACCCCCCACACAGCGATTCCTTGTACAGGGTATATCGCTCAGCTTTTCTTGTTCTAGCTGTACGATGGTGTTATCACGAAATATCACAATTTCGTTTCATTTGTGTGAAAATATACGAAAATGACTTGAGATGATTATTTAGATTTTTAATGGTAATTAAAACAGATTTCTGGAATCAATATATGATTATTGCACAGACAAATGCATCAAATGGCTGGATGGTCATTTGTTCGCTTGAGATGGTGCCTCTGACTTTGATGTCTGTGTGTGGGGGGGGGGGGGGGGGGGGGGGGGCAGACAGGTCACCATAGGGCAGGTTCTGACGTAAGTAAATGGGCCCACAGTAGGCGGCCGGGGACAGCTGCCGAAAATGTGTCCCTGGCTTATATTAAACATCACATAGCCCCCCCCCCACAGAGTAGTCTAACTTCTCCTCCAAACAAATCAAGGACTTCGGCGCCAGCTGTGCACTAAAACACCCGACCCAGTAGACCTCTTCCCAGTTGGACTTGTGTATTTTCCCCATCAAAAGAACTGCGCCTGAATGAGATTTTCTTATTAAGCGGTGAAATAACATTTGCTGTTTTTACTTAAGACCTAACCTGGACTGTTCTTAAAAATACATTTACCAGTTTATTATTGGTCACAAATTACACTGAAAAATTTTTATTGCATTAATCCAACATTTGGCTGACAATGACAATCACAGTTTGCTTCTTTCGTTTACCATCACTAACACGCTGCAGAAGGGTATTTCCAGAAAACCATCTTGACTTAATCATTTCTTTTACAGTTCAGGCCATCCGAGGCAGGGCCACCCCTTCCCCGCCCTCCCCGCCCTCCCCGCCCTCCCTCTCCTATAATTGTACATGCCTCATTTATACTTCCGCTCTGCATTTCCCTCCCCCCCTAAATCACTTTAATTTCAGCCACCTTCACAAACTCCTGCCCTTCTATGGTTGTGTTATACTTCGTGTACAAGCGTTTATCCACCTGTATGTCACTCTGGACAAAGGCATCTGCTAAATGATGAGTTATGTAAAAATACATCACCTTTAGTCATTGTCTATTAAATTCAGCTGGCAAAACGAAATTGCTGTAGTTTACAATTATGTCCTTTTTTGTGGACTATGATTCGTAACAAATATAGTGTGAGCTGCTTTGTTTATGGAACATTAATCTGAGTGATACTTCATTTTAACCTTTGCACCTTGATCATCTTTTGAGGAACTTTCTTTTAAGGAAGTAGGAGGCACATAAGCTACAAGCAGTCATGGTTACTGTTACTTCTAGCAAGAAATGCAGTGTATCACAGATGATCTGCCTTCACATTACATCCCATTCCAGGGTGGACAGACAGTCAGATGGATGGACGCAGTTGGTTCTAGCCTGTGTGGCACTCTGGGGCAGCATCACCTTTGGCACAAGCCCCCATATAATGAAAGAATAAGATAAAAATAATTACAGGTAAAAATAGCTCTGTCAGAACCGCAAAGAGGGCAAGTACTTCTAGGGGTGCTGACTTAGAGAATCAATTTCACTTTGTCTTAGACAATGTGCCCCCACAGAATTTGATTCCCGACATCGCGTAGCTGTTCTCTGCTGGCCCTGCAGACTCTTCTATCATAGATGAGTGATCAGGAATTTGGATCAGCGCGTTGAATAATGCCACGCTGGGCAATCGCCGATCAAACCCTGAAGGTTGCTTGTTCCAGTCCAGGGTAAATTCTCACTGTAGTTTTCATGGAACTCATTAACTTGATTTGTATTATTGAGTTGTATAGAGCCGTGTCTTTCCTGGTGAAGCAGGAAGCAAGCGGATAAATTCAGTAACAGTTCTTTGTCACGACTCAAGAAGCGAATGACTCAAGGACAGGCGTTGGGGCAAAACAAAAGGGGGATTATTAAACTCAAAGAACATGGACTGGAAATAAACAAGAACACATGGGATGAAAATGGGAGGAGGGAGCAAGGAAGGGCACAGGCAACACAAGGGTTCAGCGTCAATGACCAGAATGGGGAACACAGGACTGAGAAGCACATATATACCAGACTATCGATGGAGCTAACAAGGGGCAACTTGGAGTGATTAACACGAGGGTTAGGAACGATAAGTAAGACAAACAAGTAACTGGCGTGGCTGGTTAGGGTCATGCTAGGGAGGAGACAGGAGGGTCAGGTGGACGTGGCAGGCAGGACATAACATTCTTCTGTGGTGTTCAATGTTGTAAAATTCTGTTGTGTTTCAAGTGTCCCTGTCATTCTGCTGATCTAGTCATGATTCAGCCACAAATTAACAATATCAATTAACAACCTAACAAGGAGTGAAAGTGACAGATTAAAGACCATGCAGCATCAAAGGAAACTGTTTCAGTTCCAAAGGCACAGTTAAAGGAGTTCAAATTTACAGGCAATTCAATGACCAAAACCAAGAGCGGCAAGGCTGGTGACCTTGAAGATGGTCATAAATGTTCAGCATGTAACTTCACTTAATCACCACAGACTTTCTTCTACTGACTCCATCCATCCATCCATCCATTAATTTTCTGAAACCTCTATCCCGGAGGTGCAAGTCAGGGAACAACCCAGGACGGGGCGCCAAACTCAACTGACTCTTATTAATAAAAAAATAAAGCGAGAGAAATCATATGAACAACATCTCTGAAGAAAGAGAAGAGGTTAACTGTCAATGATCCCATTAAAGGTCAATTGAAGCATTTTAAGTCAATAAGAGATTTTGAACAGTCTTGGATACACTTTCAGGAGACAATAAGTTTGTTGGTATTAGCAGACTGCAAAGACTTGACCAGTCTGAGGAACATTCCCACAGACATCAAAGATCCTGATGTATATAGCCAGTGAACGCATTTCCCCATTCTTCATCTGCCATCCATAAATGCTTATCCTATACGGTGTCATAGATTTCCTGGAGCCAACACAAACATGAACAGGGAAACTACAAATAAACACACATTCCGAGCCCCAGTCGTGACATTGTGAGGCTACAGTGCTTCTCAGTAAGCCGTAATGCTGCCCTGCCAGCCTCACACACACCTCATATCTACTCTATGGGAAAAAACAGCAAATACTTTGTTAGCCTTAATAAGCTTGAGAAGAGGTTTGAAACTGAAGCTGTGTTCTTCTCTCCATCGAAAAAGATATCAGTAACTTTTTGGAGAAC